CGTAGACGACAGATAATATGCATCCATCCACACGAACGCACAGAGTAGAGCTTATACAACAGCAGGGGAATCGTCTTAAAGGTTCCATCCGCATACCAGGAATCGTTCCTCCGTGGAGTAGCGCATAATTTGGCGTTCAATGTTGTGTATGGTAAATACATGTAACCTCATGTTCTTCATGTTGCTTTCTTTCATTTTTGAGTGCATGCCTGATCAAATTCGGTGAAATTCGGTGAAATGGGCTGTCGATGACAACAGTGCTAGGTGAACTGTCTTTCGGTGAATTGGGTATCCTGTGAAATGGGCTGTCCGTCAAAAAGGTAGTGTGTGAAATGTCACTCAGTGAACTGTCGTTCGGTGAACTGTCGTTCTGTGAACTGGGTTTCTGTGAACTGTCGGGACACCCTGTAGTTCGCGAACTGAAAAATGTTTGCGAACGTCGTCTTGCTAGTCTTGATCCGGATATCCTCCGTATTTTATTGGCCGAATAGTAGACCCAGCTAGCTAGCTCCCCAGCCAGGCCCACCATTTGAAAGTATTTTTACCGGCAAAAAACGCGTGGAAGAACTCGACTCGATCGAGTCGTGTTACTTTTGACGTCATCATTTCCAAGCACTAGCCGCATCGGCCCGCATGCACTCGACACTCGTAGAGTCGTAGTACTAGATTCGCGATCGCGCTATACTATAGCGCTAGCGCCGGCGACTTCGATTTTATATGCACAGCGCAAAAAAATACTGGAAAAGCGCAAGAACGACAACAGTCACAACAACTAACTAATTCCTTCGTTACCTCGTCAGATTTTGTTGCTTTCTCCTTTGGACGGGCAGTTTGATTGAGCTAATCCCAAGCGAGCTCTGGAAGGAGCTGAGGCGGGAAGATGCTACTTGCTCACAGGCTGGCCTCGGCGAGAGCTTGCCTGGCTGGAAGATGTAAGAGAGATTACGGAACCATCGTTTCCTGTGGATCGACTTAGTCAGTTAGTGACTGCTGCTCGTGCTTGCGTATGTGCGTGTACGTTTGTGCATGTGCACGCGTACGTTCTGTGCGTGCGTGTGTGCGTATGCGTGTGCACGCGACGTTCTGTGCATGCGTGTGTGCCGTTTTCAATTGCAGCACCGTTGATTGTCCGTACTTGCGTGACTTATGTGCCGAGCAAGAAACCTTTCGTCTACTACGTTGAAAAGGACGGGCAACAGGTTCCTCTGGACTTAGAAAGCCCAGATGCACCGCAGTGGCACGACAACAACGACGATTTCTGGAGAAAAGCAGATTTGTTTGTGCAAGACCAGCCAGAGGTGCATCCGCCGTATCATCACATGGTATGCCAAACACGTTACTACTAGTAATAGTATGCTGCAGCTGCTGCTGCTGCTGCTGCTGCTGCTGCTGCTGCTGCTGCTGCTGCTGCTGCTGCTGTTGCTGCTGCTGCTTCTGATGCTGCTGATTCTGCTGCTGATGCTGGAGGTGCATCCGACGTATCCTCACATGGTATGCCAAACACGTTACTATGCTGCTGCTGCTGCTGCTGCTTTTGGTGACCTGCTTCCGTCGCCCCTACCTTGCCTACAAGTGCATGCAAACAACAAAACATGTGTATCTGCTATAGTCAAGCAATGACGTCTCCCATTACCAGTCCTGGAGATGTCCTAGATAGAACATCATAGACTGACCCAGCATACATGATAACATCTATGCTGTTCCCATAGTATTCGTGACGCGTGACTCAAAACTTTGTGTCGCGTCCGAGGAAGATGAACATGTCGCACTCAAAACAAACGCGACGAAGGCCTTTCGTCTTAAAAGTTGTCGTTCTCCTGGCGGCTTGCCTCAAGCGAGTCGAGATTCGTATCTTGCCTCTTGCCTTCACGAATTTTATTTTCCGCGTTGTGGAATGAACGCACGGGGCGTAGTAGTAGTAGTAGTAGTAGTATTTATTATTTGACTAGGGGAGTCCCAACAGGCATGGCCTTGTTACAGGGAACCCTAGGTGAATCTTTGTGAGGTGAGCAAAAGTACCAGCAGATTGTGAAGAAACATTCCAAAGGCAAAACATTCAAAATTGAACCAATGGTTTCCAATGGCTACGAGAAACCCTACATGAAATCCCCAAGCGAAAAAGGCCATTCGGTCGGGTATTCGATGGCAAATCGAATATGCACTACCTCAATCCCCGCCAATCTCTGATATTCTCCGCCTATCCCCTCAAACGTGACCAATTCGGAAAGAAATCCATCGCCATTACGATCGTGCATCCTCCACATACATTCAGAAATGCTCACGCAGCACTTCTTTTCATCGCGTGTGCGCGACCGGTGCTTCCATGACAACTCTGGGACAGGTGACCAATCAGAGCGCGATGTCCTAGATAGGACATCTCCCCGACTGGTTACCTCATGTGTGCGAAGAAAACTCTTCTGACTTCCGGGAAATTCAGCTGGGGTTGGGTTAATGATAGTTGTTGAGAGTCATGTAAAACCGGAAAGTTTCGGTGGCGATTTATTTTCGGTAACTTTGGTGCAGGTAATTGTTACGTAAAATAAAGCGTTTAATACCTAAAACTCAACAAGCTCATGCCATACACATCGTGCCATACATTGTGCATAATGCATATTTGGTTCCGGAAAACTGGTTCGCCTAAATTTTCGCGCTGCCGAACCGTTGATTTTGGGAAATACCGAAAACATTTCACCACCGAAAATTCCCGGTTTTAACGGTGTTAAGGTGCCAGTTGGATGGGTGATTTGCGCGCCATCCTCACCGTATACTACCTGTTCAAACAGTGTGTCTCACACATGCAGCAGTCATAATGTGAAGTGCAGATTCTCACACCTTGGGATAAGTGTAGGTTTTTAGGGTTTTTTTGGGGGGGGGGGGGGGGGGCCGTGGCAATCTTTATGGCTGTGAAGTGCAGATTCCCACACCTTGGGATAAGTGTAGGTTTTTAGGTTTTTTGTTTTTTTGGTGGGGGGGGGGGGGAGGATGCTGTGGCGTACACCAATCGTGACGCGTGCTCGATTTGACTGTTGTTCCGCTTTCAGAAATGGGCACTGGGACTTCTGGGCTTCGGCAGTCTGTTCTACTTCGTTTTCCTCCGTAAGTAGTTTTGTACCCGCTAATATAGGTTGGTGGACTCGATCGCATAACTTGTGCCCACAAGTTCCATGTTACAATTAATTTTTTCCTTGGCTCACCATCTGAGTTCATATAGGTTTCTTCACATTTGCACCTTCTTGTCATTCTCCTCTGCGCTGTTTGGAATTTCACTCCTGAGACCTGCAAATCTGTAATGATCTGACAGCTTTTTGGGCTGTGTGTCTTCACGTGTGTGTGTGGGTATGTGTGTGCGCATGCGTGTGAATGTGTGTGTGTGTGTGTGTGTGTGTGCGTGTTTTATGTGTGCGCACATGTGTGTGTGTGTTTTGTGTTGCCGTCCCTGCACATGTGCTCCTTGCTTGATGGCGATTCCTTTGCAGAGGACGGCAGCGCAGGGCGGGTAAGACCTAACTGTACACGAGAGCATACATTGGAACCCTTATAAGACATAATCCAGTGGGCAGCAGCAGGACGGAGTACTTAGCATACTAAGCGTGGTGCATTTCATCCCAAGATACTTCTCAGGGGCGTCGGAAGGTAATTTAGTGTGGTACGGTCAGCCATCTGAAGTACAAGTTACTCGTGGGGGAGGGGTTGCTGAGCCGAAAATTTTGGAAATTTAGAGCCCAGATCAGTGTATTTTGTTGATTCACAGGGTGTCTGGGGCGAAAAGTGGTGCGGTCAATACCGCAGTGACCGTACCGTGTCCGACGCCCCTGCTTCTGCATGGGTCAATACGCCCGTGCTCCGGGCTATGTCCATACATGTACTACAGTCCGTTCAGAAAAAGATGAGCGCTGGCACTGGCGAGCTCCCATATTTGGTGATTTTTATCGTACACGGCGCAGTGCCGCGAAATTTGAAACTTGATAAAGGATTCGAAAAGGTACCTCAACCGGGGTTCGAACCGCGCAAGGTACTGTTGCAAGTGGAGTGAAACGGCCTGGATTTCCATGGTTTCCCCCAAATTAGAGCTTTCGGGGCAAAACTGGCCAAAATCATATTCTTCTTATGGCTTGTTTTTTTGAAGAAATTGACTTCAGAAACATAACCGGAAGAGCATTGCATGGGCGATTGTGAAAAAAAACTCAAAATTTGACCCACTTATGGCCAAAGCTAGGATATTATCCCTAAGTTCTATGAATGGACTATAGCTATAGGCAAGAGCATGTCCCATTAGTTAGAGTATGTGCTAGTCTTGTTCCTCTGTCTCGTCACACGAATAACTTGGGTGTTCAGTCTGAGTTGGAATCCGTCCTGGCTGACCATTTGGACACTTGAATAGAAGTAAGAAGAGAGGACCAAAGGTTTACAAGTTATCCGATTTTTGACCAGCAGGAACAATTATACTTGATCCGCGTCATCAAAATTGTCGTTTATCTTTCAGCTTGGTTTTTATGTCGCCAATGCTCACTTGGCAGCCCATTTCATCCCACTTTTGGTTAGTAAGTTAGTTTACCTTTAAGGTAGCAGTCTACCCAGAATGGTACCTGCCGTAGGCTATCCGGTATATCTCCAGAACGCATCATTAGAATTGCTTCAAATTTTCAACATAGCATCATCATGTTACTAGGCCGATGTCAGAAAACAAATACTGGCAATAAATCAAACCAAAAAGTGAGATTAGAGAAAGTTTTGAGAAAATGCGGTGCGCAAAACACGGACCATGAAGTCTATGCAGCATAACTTTAGTTTGTACAACAGAAAGCCCCCCCCCCCCCCGGGGACAAAATGTGGTACGACCGTGGACGTACTGGTGGTACCGTGTGCGACACCCCTGCATGTTCACTTGTTGCTGTTGTTTGTGCATCTTCATTATTGAGTCATTGGTGCACCTCCACTAGACAATTTGTAATGGTACGCATGGCGTTTGGATTTCCTCTGTACCATGCAGGCATGGTGCGATGGTTGGACGAATCAAGACAAGTACCTGATGTTTGGCATGGACCCTGGCGAATATCTCACCAAGGAGGATAGAGAAGTGATTGCCAAGCGACGCGAGATCGCACGAAAACTGGTGCGTATCGTTGCACGGCAGTGTAGTGTTCTGAACTATCTTTGCTTGAAATTTGAGAAGCCAGGTTGATAGTGAAGCATCCTCCCCTGTCCTTTTAAGACTGATAATAACCCAAAGATAAAATGCTTAGTTGGTTGTCTCTATTCGATCAAGGTGTTTTCACGGGAATCTCTTGGCAGTTGGCATGTGGCTCACTGTGCCTGTCAGCTGTTTCCTACATGTAGCTTGCTTCGCATGCACAAGTATCTGTTTTTGGTACTTAAAGTATCCACGTGGGAAACAGAGTTAGTGCGTGAGTGAAAGAGAGAGAGAGAGAGAGAGAGAGAGAGAGAGAGAGAACACACACACACACACACACACACACACACACGCGCGCACACACACACACACACACACACACACACCTGTCCTGAACATTGCCGTTTCCGGTTACATGTCCCCTCGTGTGAGGGGCCGACAGACATGGAGAGTTGGGTTGAGGCGCTGTGCCGCATCAACGACCTAGCGAGATTTCCTAGCCATTTCATTGATCCATTTGTTGCAGTTGTGTAGCTGGAATCCTCGGGTTGACTTGCAACAACGATCGCATTTGCTGCAGTGGGCTCTGCAGCAAGGTAGGGCGAGCCGCTGTCGGGTGTCACACGATGGTCCAGAAGCGGTGGTTTGGTTGTGCACTGGAGTAGCAGATGGGGGCATATCCAGGCATTTGTGGACGGCCAGTCCGCCAGGCTGCGGCCTGCTGCCAGCCTGGTCTGCTACGGGTTTGCGACGCTCTTCAGTGCACTTGTGGCGTGGCAGGCCGCTCTTCGAGAAGGATCTGTTACAGATACTGCACTGAATCCGTTCACGAGAGGCCGGCTGTGGTGGTGAAGCAGTTCTGAATGCTGTGCGCCACTCTCCCCGCTGCTGCGCGGTGTCGAACCAATCTCCTTCCAGATGGAGGTGACGGATATCAGTTAGGACGGCATCACGCCAACGCTTTCGGGGACCACATGCAGGGCGTGTGGGTAGTAGTGACCCGAATAACATCTGGCGAGGGGTGCGGTCGTCTTCCATCCTGGCAACGTGACCAAGCCACTCCATCCGCCGTCGAAGCAGGCGAGTTGGGATATCGTCCTGCTTGGTGTCATTCCAGATGACCAGGACTTGGGTGGTCGTTATTCGGTCACTCCAGACTGCCTGTCGGGTAATTTCAAGAATCGACCGAATGCAGCGGAAGTGAAACGTAGATAGGTCGGTGATGTCCTGCTGCAGAGGTACCCAACATTCGGAGCAGTACAGCAGCAGTGACAGTACGCACGCTTCATAAACCACACACACACACACACACACACACACACACAGATGGTGGTGTCGAAACAGGCTGGGTGTAGCTGTTAGTGGGGTGAGGATTGTATTTTTCGAGTCACATTGAACAGAACCGGCTAAATTGACATAGCAAACATGCTTTACTTGCCGCGGCACTGGGTCCTTTTTGTAAAAAAAAAACTGCAATTGACGGCCATCTGCGATGGTCAAAAACAGTTAGAAGTTTTACCACCTCTGTTGGGCAATCAGTGCTTGATACCACCACACAGTACGATGTACTCTTGATCTGATTTGCTCTCCTCTCTGTTATGTGTGCGCGCATGTGTGTGATGGTACATGGTATGTATGTGTGCGTGTTCCTGTGTGTGTGTGTGTGTGTGTGTGTGTGCGTGTGTGTGTGTGTGTGCGTGTGTGTGTGTGCGTGTGTGTGTGTGTGCTTTGCAGCCGTTGCTGACACGTCTTGCAGAGATCCAGCGTCGCAACCCTCTGGACATCCAGCGCGAGGCCTATCTTGTAGCGAGAGACCAATCTCGCCTGACCCTGGGAATGTATCCTTTCTTGATCAAGCTTTGCATAGTGGCTTCCATAGAGTCAAACAACCTGCGATGCACATGCTTTGTCACTGAAACGAAATCAGGACACTGCAGTATGATGAGTTTGGAGTAGGGAGGTTCCTGGTTCCGTATGTGTGTGTGTATATGTGTATGTGTGTGTGTGTGTGTGTGTGTGTGTGTATGTGTGTGTGTGTGTGTGTGTGTGTGTGTGTGTGTGCGCGCGCGCACACGACAGACAGACGGCCATAGTGTTCACATACATCAAGTATGTGTGTGTGCATATATATCTTTATGTATAACACGCGCGCACACACACACACCATCCCTGCTAACGTTATTGATGACTGCTGCAAGTCACACGCTGGGCAGCTATTCAGGAAACCGCGAGCCACTGCAAGCCAATCATTAATCCAAGACTGCATGTTGACAATCTGTAACATGTGCATTGTGATACACCCACACACCACACACACACACCACACACACACACACACACACACACACACACACACACACACACACACACACACACACACACACACACACACACAGCAAGGAGAGGTAGGTCTGTTGCAACGTTCATCTCGTTCATGTTGTTCTATGCCATCTCTCAATAATGGTATAGAAAATGTGCTGATTGCGGGTAGGCGAATAAAGATTTCCGGATACCCGGGCCGGGACAGGAATCTACCAGTGCACATTGTATTGTGCATCGGAACTGTTTCTTGCTGTCTGCGCACACTTTGTTGAGAAAACCTCTTTCTGAAGGAAATGTTAACGGTCACCGCAGACCATCTGGTAAAAGGAGAGCGATCGCTCTCGCGCGCCTTCACTCTCCTTATTTTCTTTTAGGGCGCACTTTTCGTCGCGCGCCTTGAGACTGAATTTCGAGCGCATCCGCATCACTATGAAGTTCTGAAAACACTCAAATATTTCGTAACTCAGCTTTCCCTGAACGGAATCGAGAAATCGAAAGATCTATTCGCATTAGAAAGTTCTCAGCTGTCGGCTCCAACAAATCGAAAGTCGATCCGAGGTTCGATAGTGGAGTGACGGCACTCGCAAGGTATTTTACGTACCTTTGCAAATTTTCACTTCCGCACACATGATTTTGACATAAAGGATTTCCCTCTGTTGCGTGACAGTCCGGGCATGCATACACCTGTGTACGTGTGACGCCAGGCACAGGTCTTTAGCCGTAAGCTACAGAACAAAGCCTCAAAGGAGCGCTCTACGATGAATACTACAAAATTACCATGGATCTTAGCGAATTGTCTCAATTTCCCATTGCGTGTGTCATTGCCCCTGATGAAGGGAAACTAAAGTTGTGGTCCGAACAGCTTTCATTTGTAGTGCGTACGGCGATTTTCCAGAACGAATTTGGCAGCTATTGGGTATTGAATCCGATTGGGGTATGGCAAGATGTTGAAAAAACCCGTATTGTGCTCGCCTTGGATAGATAAGGCGAGCGACTTTTTTTTTTGGGGGGGGGGAGGGTGGTGGGGACTGCTCTCCCACCACTCTCCTTGAGAGGATAGCGAGAGTGATTGCTCACTCTCCTGGATTTTTCTTACACGAAGGTCTAACGGTCGCTGTTGGGGTGATGACTACGCCATAGCTTAGTGGCAGAGCATCGCCGGCCGTAGGCTAGGGTCCCTGGTTCGAGTTCTGTGTTGACAGTTTAATTTCTTCCTCAAACTTTTACCGTTTCTCTCTCTCTCTCTCTCTCCCTCTCTCTCTGTCCGTCTCACTTTCTCTCTCTCTCTCCCTCATTCAACCTTATGGAACCCGTTGTCCTTGACTTCAATGTTCAGTATGGAAAATAAAATGCGTCGCCGCTCTCCCCAGCAAGTGCAGGATGCCACCGGTAACATTGGCTTCTCTCTGATCCACGAGCTAGAAATGTCCCGCACCGCACCAAAGCCGGACATCAGCAAGTACAAAACACCGATCGGTGGGACTGGCCCTGGCTGAATAGCATGCGCACCTAGCGAGCACAGCGCTATCTCGCTGGCGGCGGCGGCACAAACTTTGAAGTTGCTGTTTGGAAGTGGATGCATGAATGCAATCGCTGCTCTTGTTCCGTGCAGTGCTCACAGAATAGCAATTGCCGACAAAGCGGAGTCCCGCAGCCTCCAAACACAAATCACTTTTATCTCTAGAGTTCAATTCATGTTGGAAGTGCCTGATCCTATTGCTACTCCGTGTCTTGCTGGTGTTCTTGCCTTTGTTCAAGTCACTAAATGTGTTACTGCAGTAGTTACTGGCGGTATGTATTTATTGCTATAATTTCTCCGTTGCATCCAACTTGTTAGTTTACCAGTTTACCTGACATCTTTTTAAGTAAAGTTTCAACATGTGGGCCATGAACGATTGATTTGGAGTTGCATCCCAAAGGCATTACTGTGTGGGCATGTGTTCATGTACTTTCATGATGTCATTGCACTGTGATATGTGTGCGTGCGTGTGTGTGTGTGTGTGTGTGTGTGTGTGTGTGTGTGTGTGTGTGTGCGTGCGTGTGTGTGTGAGTGCGTGTCGGTGTGTGTTGAGTTGGGTGGTTCAAAAGCCAATTGAGTCATTTTTCCAAGAGTCCCTTTGAATTAGGGGTGAAACGAATTTTAGAACGTTCAACCAGGTTCGCTCCAAATGGGAGTTGAAGAGAATTTGATTTGTTACTTCAAGGTGTCGAGCGTTCGTCGATGCACGCGTAGGACTAAGTACATGCAGTCGCATGCTTGCACTCCAAAAATAATAATAACAATGTACATGTATATCGCACAGAGCTCAGTCAGCCACCCTCGCCCCCAGGTCCCCACTACAGGTTACAGCAGCTATTCAAAAAAGAAACGGTGATTTGCAGATTGTGCCATTCTTGGCGGTTTTACGAATGTGACGGATTAGATTGGAAAGGCTTCCTGTCTGAAGCCTTTCCATACTGGTACTCGATGTTCCAGTTTTGTGACACGAGAATGGCACGAGAATTAGTGTACCGCTGAGTGTACCGCTATACACGTGGTCGACACTTAGTCGACACGTTGTTGATACTTTTTTGACACGTGACCCCGTCAACGGTCTGCTTTGTGCCAATGCCACTCGGTAAACGCCGATGCCGCGTACGACAAAGACGACTATCCCGTACGCGAAATAGTTGAGAACTGCATGACGTGGACCTGACGGCAAGGACAACTGCGAGGAGACCCCTTTCGGTCGACGGGAAGGAGAACTGCATGCAGAAGTCGACGAAGTCGAACGAGGAGGCCCCTTTCCGTACCCCGTACTGCAAAGTGCCATTGATGGATGCCTTTTGCACCTGGAACGACCCCTTAAACGCTGTCGCGGCGACTATCCCGTACGCGAAATAGTTGAGAACTACTGACGTGGACCTTTTGCACCTGGGACGGCCCCGTAAACGCTGTCGACGATGTCGTGTCGGCGGAGTGAATGTGCAGGGTGAAAAGAATTGCTGCAAAGACGTCCGCTCTAGGCCTTTGGAGACATCGTGGGAACTCCTTCCGGTACTATACAAACTGCTGACGTGGCCGTGGACATGTACATGGAGACATGGTGGGACTTCATGTACATGAATACATGGTGGGAATTCCTTCCGCCACCCCCGTACCGCAAAGCCAACGGTGGGGAAGGAGAAGTGCAGACGTGCAGGAAGACGAGCGAGGAGGAACCAGGACGAGCGAGCAATGGCAGGACTAGCTGGACCGTAAGTAATAGCTGAATTGTGCATGACAACTTGACATCCATGCGGCACTCGCCACTTGCCACTGCATATTTCTTGTCCACTAACAATGTCTCTCCTCTGCCCCCTGTGTGTCCACGGCCCTGTTGCTGAATTGGCCCGATGAATCGAATGTCTTCCGCAACTGGAACGGCCCAGTAAACGATGTCGCGTCGGCGACTGAATGCGCTGGAGGGAAAATATTGCTGCGAAGACGTTTCCTCTAGACCACGGTAAGGCAACCCATTGATATGTTGCCAGTTACCTTCTACTAACACGTTATCAGGTGGAGTGTGTCTTGTACTCACGTTATCAGGTCGAGAGCGTATTGTAGTCACTCTCTCTATTCCTGTACTTCATTACGTTTAAGGTGTACGTATAACTTCTCAAAAAAATTTAATGGTCTACAGTCGTGTCGGAAGGGTACGGTGGGACTGTAGACCTGTTACCTTCTAACACGTTATCACTATATCAGGTCGAGAGCGTATTGTAGTCACTCTCTCTATTCCTGTACTTCATTACGTTTCAGGTGTACGTATAACTTTTCCAACAAATTTAATGGTTCACGTCTTCAGATAGAGAGCGTATTGCACCCACTGTCTAGTCTCTGTAGTGCATTGAGATTTTGTTGATCGCACATGAAAATGGATACACAGGCAAAGCAGGCCAAGTACATGGCGAGATGTCGCCAGAAGAACGTCTTCAGATAGAGAGCGTATTGCACCCACTGTCTAGTCGATTTTGTGGATCGCACATGAAATGGATACACAGACAAAGCAGGCCAAGTATATGAGAGAGTGGACGATGTGCGGATCGACACGGCCTGCGGGTACTTCATTAAAGTTACCCGTGACATAACTAGGATAAAAGTTAATCACTGCAAAGACATTGCCAAGTATGTGAGCACTTTGGACTTGACAGAAGAGTGCAAGGGCGACGTTGACAAAACATACCGCGGTGACTGTCACCATCATGACAGCAGGGCACATCGCACGCAGCATCGCAGATCGTGTCGAATTGCGCATCATAATATTGCAAAATTGCTCCTGTGCAGGCAAGTGGATTTCATTGCACTTCTCAGTTTGGGAAATGCTCGATTATGACAATTCTGCGTGTGAGTGCACTAGCCCTGAACATACATGTAGGTGACCCGTTTGTGGTGTCTCATAGCTAGCCCTTTCCCAAAGATGCTCGCCACTTTTTTCGGAACTTTTCGGTGTTTAGGAAGAAATCGCAACTTTCACAACTTTCTTCATTTTTCGGAACTATTTCGCAATTTCTCCGCAACCTTGGCGCAATTGGCCCCATGGTATGGGGTCGAAAGATCAAGTCACCGACTACATGTTGCATTGTTGGACAAATACATACTCGTGCTCGCTCATTTCTCGCCTGCCTTCAGGCTCATTTCTGAGAAACAGTAGATCAACGGTAGTTACGATAATTATGTGCATTCCCTTTTCCGTGCACTGTAATGATGTACATGTACATGTAGGATACATGCAACAGGCTACTGGCACTGTGTAAAATGGTGGTTCACAGCAGGAAGGGGTGTACGAGTTTGCTGTCGCAGCATCGCTGCATTTCTGCTATTTCTGCTCCCTGTTTTGTAGGTTTTGCACAAGAACTCTCCAATTTTGAGTTGCGATGTTGGCAACTTTTGAGCTTTTTCTGAAAATATGGATGCGATTTCAGCAACTAGCACTTGTTTTGGCACGGTTGCGAAAAGCATAAGTTGCGAAAAACTATGGCATCTTTGGGAAAGGACTACTCATAGCCTACCTCACGACCTTCTGCTTTCTTTCTTCATCACTTGTATCTTGCAGGTATATCATCCCGTGACGACCACATTGAAGTCTGAATTTGAAGTGTGAAGATGCTTCAGCAACCACATCGTACTTTTCCATTGCTTTCATTGTGCTTCTACTGTGCATGTGTGTAACTTGTGGGGTAAACATGTGATGACATTGTATGCTGGCGACACGGTCAGATGTTGTCCATGCGTCTAACGTACACGTGCATGTTATGCATTGAAAAGGATTTGCCACTTGCGATCCTGGGACGAGTATCAGGTCAGCTTTGTCCTGTCTGGGCTGTATCAGATTGCTGTTCACTTCTCTATCTGTTGGATGTGTGACTTTCTGCAAGTTTCTGGTGTATGATGGCCACTTCCTTTCTTGTCACTTTGTATGATATTACATTCTGTATTCGCTGCTTCCATGGCGTGGTCTGCAAACTGCAATCCTTGGGCAAATGTCATGTTTGCTATGTTGTGCTTTGGCCGTCAGCTTGTCTACACGCTGTAGTTGAATTATTTTTGTTTCACAACTGACTTCCTCAAGTACGGTGGCCACTGCTTTGCATGGCATTATATATGAAGAATTTCCTGTTTGTGTCGTGCGCATGTGCGTATGTGTGCGTGGCCACGTGTGTGTGCCGTGTGCATGTGCGTATGTGTGCGTGGCCACGTGTGTGTGCCGTGTGCATATGCATGTTTGTGTATCTGTGTGCGGGGTAGCGAGGCGGGGAAGGCTGGTATGTATCAGTGTTTTATTGCAGTCTCATGGCTACATACAGTACATCGCGCGTGGTCATCATGTTTATCTTCGGGGTTGGGGTGGGGAGGGAACGGAAAAAGAACTGAAATTATCCATATAAAACCGCTCTGTGAGCGGTTCTGAAAAACCTTTACTGGTACTGCCCCGTCGTAAAAGTAAGAAATTAGAACTGGTCCATTGTCCTCCCAAATGCGAACTGATCCACCTAAATCATGAATGACGGGACCCGAACGCACCAGTAGCACGAGGTTCCTACCTGTGGACGCAGATGGGGACGTTGGTCCGGACCAAAGGCCATGTACTGTACTAGCGGTAGGTGGTGTTACCCTATGATAATTGCTGTCCTGTGCCCTCCCGACCTCGTGCTACTGGTGCGTTCGGGTCCCGTCATTCGCGATTTAGGTGGATCAGTTCGCATTTGGGAGGACAATGGACCAGTTCTAATTTCTTACTTTTACGACGGGGCAGTACCAGTAAAGGTTTTTCAGAACCGCTCACAGAGCGGTTTTATATGGATAATCTACTTGTGGGGTCTTTATTCCCGTAGCTATGCAGAAGACGTTACTTCAGTAACGTCTGGCGCTAGCCAGGGTCCACACAGCTTTAATTTGGTGTTTGTTTGTTTGTTTGTTTGTTTGTGTCACGGCTGGAGCTATCCCGTATCTGTCCCGTATCTGTGACTACAAAGGCTCTACAGGATTGTACATTACAGCTGTCCACAATATTTGCGGGCTCCTGTATCTGTCCCGTACCGTACCAATATTCGTCGTATTATGTATACGACTCCCTGATGTAGATGGAGATTTGGAAAGAAATAGGGAGACGAGGAGGAAATTAAATTAGAATAGACGCCGAATAGGTGATAGGATGCGTCAGCATAAACATACTTTGGAAGAGAGATCCCGTCGTCTCCAAAATAAGCGTGAACGAGCGATTCAGCGCCGGTCACAGGAAACGTCGGAAGAGAGATCCCGTCGACTCCAGAATGCCCGTGATCGGCAGAGTCCGCCGGTCCCAGGCAACATCAGGACAGACATCTTGTTGAGTCCAGAACGCCCGTGATCGGCAGAGTCTAAGCCGGTCCCAGGAAACGTCAGGACAGACATCCTGTCGAGTCCAGAACGCCCGTGATCGGCAGAGTCAGCGCCGGTCCCAGTAAACGTCAGGACAGACATCCCGTCGACGCGCAGAAAAACTAAATCTGCAGCTTCCTTTGGCGTCGGACAGGATACGTATTTAAGGAGACTGTAAAGTTATGTAATGTCCAACTTTCGACGTGAGCAGCAGGTCACTCGCGTTGATTTTTCGACGTGCGAGCCAAATAACGCGAGCTGAACTTTCGCGTCGCAATCATCCCGTCGACGCGCAGAAAAACTAAATCTGCAGCCTCTTTTGCCGTCGGACAGGATACGTATTTTAGGAGACTGTAAAGTTATGTAATGTGCTCCACAGGCAACCATGCATTCGGCGTCGTCATTGGCTCAACAGGTCAATGTACATGTGTTACTACAAAAAGGCCAGAAAATCCGATTACTGTATTAAAATCAACTCATTTTCGCTGGCGATTTAATTTCGCTGATTTCGCCGCTTGGTACCAACCGGCCAAAGTAAATCGCAGGCCAAAGTTTGTCATAATTATGGCCCATAATATGGGCAAATGATGCATGATTGAGCAATGGATGCATGTGAGAGCAAAAATACCGATCGATTTCAAATTTGACGTGAAATGTGGAAACGTTTTTGCAATACAGTGATGTGGCCAATCAACGGAAAAAGACATTTCCATCAGTTCTTAAAACATGTACGATGAGCTAGGCAAAAAAGCATAAAAGCATAGCGTGGGGCCCTGAGCTTCCAAGCTCTCTCGTTTGGAATAGTTCGCGAGTTCGTCAAGCGAAACGTACAGTTCTTCAGAATGTTTCGTTCGCCTTTATTGGTTTTTCTTTCAGCCCTACTTTTCAATATCTCTCCCCTCTCCCGGGGCGGGGGTACAAGTGTGTGGGTGTGTGTGGGTGTGTGTGGGTGTTTCTATTTGTGTACCGTACGTATCACAATGCATGGCATGCCCCCCCCCCCGGGCCTCCCCCTCTAGCTTGGGTGATTCTTGAGTGCCCACTTTGTAAGGAGAAAGTGCTGGTATCTGCGTTATGCTGTTGCTGATGCTGTCATTCATCATTGCTGCTGCTGCCACTGTCATTTTTGGTCTCGTTGTTGTTTCGGTTGTTCACGGTTGTGTTTTTGTTGTCGTTCTTGCTGTTGTTTGTTTCAATTCTTTATTCTCACGATGGCACCATTGCCAATAAGACGTGTTGTTTGAATTCTTTGTTCTCACGATGGCACCATCGCCAATAAGAGATAAGTTTATGATTAGCTGAGATGCTGTGGATGGGGCTGCGGGTTGTTGTTGTTGTTGTTCTTGTCGTCGGGGTTATTATCGTCATCGGCGTCCTGTTTGCCGAAAATTGTCATTTTTGCACATCGGCTGTTGTCAGCCATACAGCGGTGCACTAGAGGCAAGTATGGGTTTATGTATATACGCTAGGACAAAAGTTGGTAAGCCCTGATTTTGTGTGCTAAATCCTCTCGGAAAAGTCTGAGTGTGCGAAAAACATGAAATGAGTTCTTACACACACACACACATGGATATTCTCGTGGAATTTCAGGAGATTCTCCAACGCTCATTGAGCTCTCCGAACTTCGGAGGTGGTTGAAACCTGGAGATTCCCGTTTTAATGAATCTACGCATGCGAACTACACGCATGTCTCCAAGCACGACCGAAACATTTTTATGATTATTATCGTACATCGTGCTCGGGACTCTCAGGTCCGGAGCCCGTTTGGCGTGTTGTACTTAAATCAACATCGACATCCATTCTTTTATTCTTCCCGTTCTTCATCTTCCAAGAGAGGTTCCTCCGAGAAACAGTCAAGAACAGAAATACACTCTTTGTTCGTAAGATGGCTGGCAAATTGATCATTTTTTTGCGATCGACCAGAACATGCACCGGTTGTTTTGCCCCATCCATTGGCTTCGGACACCCTATGCTCACTATGGGTTTCGAACGTACCACTGTTTGCCACGGGGAATTAATGCACCGACGAATTATTTTGGGCTCAAAATTTGGAAATTTTTCTGCTTGGCCACCCTGGGCCCTGGTCATGGTGGTCAGATACGAAATTTATACCATCAACTTTCCATTTGTGACAAGTCCTTGAGTACACGTACGAGAGTTGCGGGAGCTCGAGAGTGCTGAATGCACTTTGGTACAGAACCTTAGGGCGCGTTCGAATTGTCACTCTGACTTTTCGAGGAGTTCCGTTTTTCTGAAGAGGTGGCCTTATTGGCCTCTTCAGAACAACGAAGCTCCTCGAAATTCCTCAGCCTCATCCGATGGGAGAGGTAGATTAGTTTCGAAGAGTTTGGAATAGCTACGTCACATAGTACGTGGAGATGGTCGACCTGATCGGACGTCATCATCGCCATGACAATTCCACTGAAAAACTCTAAAATAGTAGAAAGTTACTAGAAACCGTTCTAATGGGACACTTCAACTAATCTCTTTATAAAATTAGTTTGAACAGTTGGTGAAGACAATTCGAACGCGCCCTTAGACAGGTATAGAGAAGAGAAAACAAAGATGGTATGCCGATGCGCCAAATAATCAGTACACCTACGTGGAATCCTATAACTTGAACTTTTAAAATAATTATGGTCCAGGACCGATTTCAGTTAATGTCTGGTAGTTCAAACCTATGCCTAACACAACCTGCATGCTGCAGTACGAGTACTCGTCTGCTTCTGCCGTTTCTTCAAAAGCCCGACTATCTGAGACTAAGTTAGAGAGCACGGTCACCTACACGATACACCAACCTGCACACATATACCTACAGGCAGTATACATGTACACGTGGGAACGAACGTCACACACCCTCTGCGAACAATGACTAGGCGTATGGATTGTTGAAAAAGACACTAAAAACACCTAGGTAACTTCAGCCTGGCTACAGGTGTTTTCTCCCCACATGATGCTCAGCCAGGAGTCCGGGTGGGACAAGCCAGATCTACCTTCCCACACTGGCTTTCACCCTGCTGTTGGTAACGTTCGCTTTCCGTTGATATCACCTTAGCCAGAGAAAACAACACGCTCTCTTTTCAAGTAGCGAAATTTGAAATTGAAATTTGGGCATTCAACTGAAAGAAAGGCAATACGTTAGAGTGACGGCAACATCAAGAAAATTCTAGAAACAGCTTGATTTGTAATCCAGGAGGTGCACACCATTTCCATGAAGCTAAAACATTAGCATCACTAGTGCCCAGTGGTGTATGCATAGCTATTGGGAGAGAGAGAGAGGGGGGGGGGGGTGCAATATTGGAAAGCAAGTTGAAATAACACAATTTTCAGCATCATTGAAAGAAACAAGCTCACAATGAAAGCAGCTAGGGGTTCCAGTTCGTAATGGTGCTGAGCAGTCCGGTATCACCGGCATCTAAGATACTCATTTCAGTACATAATGTTATTTCAGTATCAGCACTCAACAAATAAGACTTGACATATGTACAAACGGACACTTACATCTCACATTGGATTTTTTTACACGAATGCTGCCAATGCAGAAGCAGCTCAATGAACCTGGTGCCGTGACTGGCAACTCTGGGCATCTTCGCCAACTACCAACTTGAGCATCACGAGCCTCCTGGGTCTCTGTGGGAAAGAGTGGAAAGAAAGACGAAACAGGACGTGTGTGTAAACAGGACAGATCCACTGTGATTCTTTTAAGAGTAAAGACAAGCAATCATGATTTTCTGCAGAAAAAGTACCGAGTTTTCCACAGTATAAGCCACACTGGAGTATAAGACTCACCCAGATTTTTGTCACGAAATACTGAAAATCACATCTACCTTATTTACCACCGTAATAAGCCGCACCGACTTTTTTTGTTTTTAAAGTGCGGCTTATGCTACGGAAAATATGGTAGTTTTCGTTTCGTTTTACTATGCGAGGCACGCAGAAGGACCATGTAGTTCAAGAGCCGTCTTTAATGCTTGTAAGACCACGTTATTCTAATGCTGTTCAGAATCAGTGATCTCTGGATATTAGTGGATAGCGACGTAAAGTGGCAGCAATTTTCTGGCCGTCCAATGCGGCAAATGGCGTAAACTAAATATATCGCAAACATCGTTTTATATCCGCACTGCTACCGTCCGGAATGCCTTGCCCGCAGACCTGGGAGCCATAGCCTCGCAGTCCTTGTTTCCCAGTCACTTTTGCACGCACTTCTCTGACACCAAACACAATGCCACTCATCACTGACTTGCCTCTGTCCTTCTTCTTCGAGCTTTGCGCTTATTCTTATTTTGTGTTTCTGTTTCGGTATATTTCGTATTTCAAGGCATACCCCGAGGCTATAGGTATCATTGAGTACAGGACCATTCTGGAACATTCAGTCTATATTACTGTAAGACATGTTATTATAACGAGTCGCAAATTTAACGATTGTCCGAAATTCATAGGTTAACGAGAAGATATGTTAACGATCCTTCAGTAATCCGCCATGTCCAAACACAACATATATGAAGCCATACGGCCTAAACGGATCTTATTATGACGAAGAAATGTCATCCGTTAAAACGTTAGATTTACTTCCTCGTTAAATATACATGTACATGTCTTACAGTATGTATTTTTCTAGCTAGGCTGTTCACTAGCCATCCACTGTCTGCTCTCTTAACCCTACAGCCTCCCATTATAATGGAACTCCCTTCAATTTAGACTATGTCTTTGGGAAGTCCTCAAATATACAATAATGATAATAGTCCAGTAGTGTGCTTCACTGTCCGAAGAGTGCTCAATGCCCATGTAGGGCAGAGCCTTGTACACAAGAGAGAGTTTGGAAGCTTTGTTACAACTCTGAGTTTCACATATTACTACGATCATCATCAGGCAACTGATCATCAGTTGCCTGATGATCGTAGTAATACGTGAAGCTCCGAGGTGTAACAAAGCGTCCAAACTCTCTCTTGTGCAATAATGATAATATCAGCAATCAGCTAGGTACAGTGAAGAACGAGAAAGGCCCAAACTATAATGCTAAGGCAACCTACTTACACTTCCTTATGGGTTGGCCATCTAGTCCGCTGACAAACTATTGCTCAAGGTCGGCAAGGATCTCGTTTTCTGCAGCCTTGTCTGACTGAATTTCTCGCTTCCAAACTGCACCAGTTTGATCGGTGTTGTCCCAGAGATTGGTGTACCCGTCCTGGTTGTCTTCATCATCACCATACTGCCATGCATCTGCGTTGCTGTCGTACTTCTGTTGCAACTCGGCTATGTCCTCTCGTTCCTGTGCTTGCACACGATCGGCGTCCGCGTGGCGGCCGAATCCCTTTTCGAAGCCGAGTGGCTCTGTCGTCGTCGGCGATACTGTGGTGGTGGGTTGTGTTGTGGTGGTAGTGGGTGCTGCAGTGCTGGCAACTTCAGCAGAGCGTGCAGTCGCTGAGGCAGCTGTGGTCATGGGAGCGGTTCTTGGCGACGATGTCACCGGGGGCATTGACGATGTAGCTTCTTCAGGTGCTTTGGATCCTGTTGGAGTTAACGTTGTAGTTTCTTCTGGCGCTGTGGAGCCAGTCGGAGTTGATGGTGTGCTTTGCTCAGGTGCTGTGGATCCTGTGGTCACCTGGATTTGTGCATTGGTTGACACAACTTCAGATGAGGACAAACTCAGCCTGATGGATTCCGTGCTGGAAGATGCGACTGGCGCAGTCCTTGCCCCCGTGGCTCCAGAGCTTGTGAGTGGCTCTGAGGAGCCCGTAGTCAGGCCAGGACCTGGTGAATGCATCCCGGTAGAAACCGGAGTGGCAGCTATCTTACTAGAAGTACTCTCAGTGGATACGCCCGGTTGTGTGGACGAACCGACCGAGACACTGCTTGCTATCGCCCGTGATGTAGTGAGAGTGGTGGCTGCCTCTACTGCAGTACTGGTTGACAGGGTGGAGCGCTCCGAGAATGTTGCTGGCGCAGATGATACCAGTGGAGACCCACTGGTTGTTTGCTTTGCCGGCACACGAGTCATCGACACCTGCCTTGATACTGAAGAGGGCGATGGAGAAACGGGCGAAGCACTTCCGTGGGGCGATATGGAGCGTGCAGGTGATGCCACAACTGCAGATTTGCTGAAGTGTGGAGTAGCTGTACGGCCTTGAGGCGATGCTGTGACTGGTGTGTTAGTTGTCACTCCAGGAACAGTCGTCGTCACGGACGAGATGGTCTGTGACCCGGTAACAAGCGAGGTAGCAACAATTGAGCTCGAACCACTAACCTGTGAACTGGTAGCAATGGTAGAGGTTGCGGGTGACAATGGCGTCGTCGGCAGAACTCCTTTTGAAACATGGCCGTGAGTTGTCACAGCTCCTCCAGTTGTCACCGGTCCTCCAGTTGTCGGTGTTTGGTTCTGGGTTTCTGATGGCAGACTGGAGGGTACGGAGGGTGACGGTATGTGCTGTGTTGCCGTTTCTGCTGTTGGTTCCATTGTCGGTGCTGCGGAAACGGTTACGCGAGGCGCAGGTAACGATGCTGAAACCGTGCGTGGGCCCACCGTAGGGTTGCCGAGAGGTGATGATGTCGCCAAGCCACCACCACCTCCACCTGCCGTGGGGGAGTTACCTCTTGTGACAGAGCCAGTGCTGGATGATGTCACTGCCTCACCAGATGATGTCACCTCTTCGCTGGATGAGATCCTTGATTCACTGGGCGCAATAGCAGTGGCAATCTGGCCAGGGGTGGAGCCAGTTGAACTAGTCTCGCTCAAAAAGCTATTGGAGGTTGGCTCTGGAAATGTCGTCGATGTACTGCTTGCAAGACCAGTTGTGACCATCTGGGCTTTAGATGTACTTGCCCCAGGTGTTTTTGGTCCGCGACTCGTCTTGGTTGATGAGAAAACCACTTCGCCACTGGTCGCCGAAGTTGCACCACCTGCCTGCGTTGACTGGGCAATTTCACCAGGGTGAGTGCTGCCGACACCAGGCGGAGCAGCGCTGAGTGCTGGCGTGACGGTATTGCCAGACCACGCTGTCGGCGAAGCGTGACCAGCTGTGTTCGTCGCTGCACGCGCCGAGGTTGTCGGCTCAGCCGTAGTCACGCGTCGCAGGATGTCCGGATAGGCGTCGAGACATTGCTGGGCGCTCATAGGCGGCGGTGTGTTGGCAGGTTGACGCGGCGGAGCATAGGGACGCCACGGCCGAACAGGAGGCAAGTCCCACCAATCGTTGAACGGAGGGTGCGCAGGTCGAGTGAACCACCTGCCGAAGCTGGCTGACCGGCGTCTGGTCGCCGCTCGGCGCCTCGATTGGTATCGGTGGCCGTCGTAACCACGTCGCCTCTTCCAAATATACGAGTCAGCCGGTAGGAGCAACAACACAAGGAGAAGCATGGCTACGAGAGCCAAGCTCCGTTGTGACGCGGTTCCTGCCATTTTCCGTCCTCGTCCCGGTCGTCGAACGAGTTCTCCGAGACAACAAGAAACGAAATTCCGCTTCGCAGAAAGGGAAAAAAGGCCAGTGCAGTCGACAAGCCGTCAATAGCCGACCTGCGACGGTTGAGAGGGGAAGAGAGAACACCGAGCTTCGATGTTCCTTCTTGTTCTTGTTGCAGGAGTTCGGCTTCGTTTTGCAGGATAATATTCGGCTGCATCCATAGGCCACGGGTTTGCTGCGTGCTTCTTTGGCGCGATCAAAAACAGCTTCACAACTAACTTTCTTCACTTGCGAAGCAGTGTTCCACTCGAAATACACAACCATGTATGTTGACGAAGGTGCAGCATGCAGTCAGTGTACTGACTGTGTAGCCTGTACTGTACTCTGTAGCCATGGTAGCCATGGTAGCCGTGTAGGTCGGGACCTAAGTGCACCAGTGACCATGGTGACGGCGGCTTGGACCCGGGAGTCGTCTCCCGACTCTAGCCTAGCCTCTTCTCTACTCTCTACTACTACTAGTACTAGTCTAGGGCTAGCACTTAGCAGCCTAGTATGGGTGGCCATGAAGTCGAGACACCAGGTCGCTGCTGGTCGGGGGAGCTCCCCAAACCTCACCACCAATGGCACCACTTATTCATGTTGTGCTTGGTTCCCGTTCCCTAGCTGCAGCTATCTCACGTCTTTGTACACAATCTGGGGACAGGATCGTTTCGACCTTTGTGGACTCATCAGCGCTAACCACTTGCACCACCACTCACCAGTTACTTTACAATCAGCTCAATCAATGCAATGACTGAGCTCATGCGATAACATTGCACGACACTGACCGACGGTACTGACGTCCTACAACTACAATGTAACTGGCTAACAGCTCTAGCACATCTTGGAATTGTTATTGACGTATTGCCTTTCTCTCACACTGTGGGCATTGAAAGACGTAGATGAGTTAACTCGTGGAAAGGGTCGGCAGAACATCTTTCACCACATTGACCGCATGAGTCGTCCCAAATGCGACATAAATTTTGACGCACGGATAAGACGAACTGACATTCGCGCGCTGTGGCGTTGTGCTTGTTCTTTCACTGTATCTTTTGTACAGCATCTCTCTTTTTCCGAACTCATTTTGCACAAATTCTTTTTTTCCCAACTCCAATGTTCATTGTATACACACAAATAGGAGATCCCCCCGATAGGCGTCAGCCTTTGGGTAATCCTGAAATAAAGATTATTATATTACACCACTCAATAAAGGAATCTCCGTGGCGTCAATTCGACCACATTTTGTACTCTGTATATGTATTATTTTATGATGAGGAAAGGAGAAGGACAGAATGTTACGAGTTATGACAAACTGTCCACCAACGTAACCAGATCTTATACAGTCAGCGAGTGCGACAAAATGGTACAAAAAAACATTTTGTCCCTTTCCTTTCTTCATCATAACTATATTGGCTCACCATCCGAGTACAAGTATTTTATTCGCCAATATCGGCATCATGGTTTTGTGGCCGCCCATTTGGCTTGCTGATCCGCCCGGATATTATTTGTTCGTTCAGCATATGCGAACACTTGGATTTATCCATGTGAACGCGAGAATGCATATTAATATTAGTGACTCCTTGGCTATGATGGTAGCTACACGTACATGTATGTGGCTGGTCACGCCATGATGCATTGATAGTCTCTCTTTCTCTTTCTTTCTCTCTCTCTCTCTCTCTCTCTCTCTCTCTCTCTCTCTCTCTCTCTCTCTCTCTCTCTCTCTCTCTCTCTCTCTCTCTCTCTCTCTCTCTCTCTCTCTCTCTCTCTCTCTCTCTCTCTCTCTCTCTCTCTCTCTCTCTCTCTCTCCCCCCCCCCCCATGGTGCGTGAGCGCATTTCACCTCACCGGCACAGATTTATAGCATCTACACGCCCTTTGTTGTCCCCTATGTTCTCTTGCTGTTGTTATTGTTGTTCTCTTCCATTCTATATGTAGGCATGTGCACTTTCATAAAAAAAGTATGGCGCTGTAAGTACATGGTTAGTACATGTACCTAGCCGGGGGATGAATAAGTAGAATCTACATGTACAGTAAGATCGGGCGCCGAAGAACGCAGGGGCTCGAGCGCAGCCTAGGACAGTTCTTAAATTTTTGATTCTAGCCAGACCGTTCTTATTCACACGCGCGCGGCGAGTCGAGTGCCGGCCGTCATGACGTTTGTCATGTACATGTACATGTACATGTAGTGCAATGTAGTACTTCTAAACTTGTAGTGGGTGTCGTAAATGGGAATGACTGTATATGTAGCAGTTACTGTTTACACGTGTACATGACATGTACTCACCTCCCATACATGTACAATGTTCCAAGTTTTAAAAGTGTTCTTAAGGTGGCAGACTACCCAAAAATTCGCTGAAAAATCGAATTTGTAACTTCGTATTGAGTGCTACGGCAGTTGAAAGAGCATGAATAGCTGCAAATTCTCTGAAAATTGTGTCCCTATTTGACCAGCCGTTCAAGAGTTATGGCCAAAAATGTGCCCTTGCAAGGAAAGAGTTTTTTGTTGCATGCTGTCATTTGTTGGCAGCACTGTATTTGAATGTGAGCAGACCGTGCGCAACTTGTCATATTATGGAAACACGCGAAAGTGTGCAGAATTTTGCCCCAAGTCCAAAAAAGTCCAAAAAATCACGTTAAAAAACCACGTATTGGGCTGCACGGCGGCGGGCGAAGCCCGCCGCCGTGCAGCAGGACTTTTGCCCGCACCCTCGTGACGTTGCAGATATGTGGCTTGATTTGACGTTGATTTAGTGACTTTGGCAAGTTTGAGTCGTGTCAAGAAGTCAGGTAGGATTCAGTACTAGGCAGTAGTGAAACGTGAGTGGCAGTCTTTGCCGGTTTCTGAGGACATCCTGGATTTGGTGTGCAGCGCTGTGGAAATGGCTTGCTGTGGAGGTCCCAGCACTGGATGTTGTATCAAAGGTACGACCTCGTAGCACACCCTAAACCTAAAAAATTCAAAAATTGACTTGGGTCTGTGGGAGTCCGCGAGAGAACGCCCACTCGTTCCGTTGTGACAGATTCCAGGGCCACGTTGAGGGGCCCTACCCCACCACCCATGGCTGCTTCTGGACTTGTTTTAGGTTTGGGTCCCGCGCACGGACAGAATGGGCACGAAAATGTGAAAAAAATGTAAATGCATTTGTTTGGCTCCTGGGTGGCTCGCACACCGTGGCACTATGCCGGAAATTTGAGTTTTTCCGGCCTGGAACGCCTGTCAGTGAGGCGCAAGAACTTGTAAATCATGTCCTGAGGGCCAGCATAGTGACAGGAGTGTGTGGTCAAAATTTCACTCAAATCCACTGAGAAACACCAAAGTTACGGTCAATTGAATGCCATATGAAATTTATGGGTAGGCTGCCCCCTTAAATCTGATAATTCTAGCCTGGACTGTTCTTAAATTTGGTCGGTTTTCCAGCCTGGGTGTTCTTCGGCGAGGTGTTCTTCGGCGCCCGATCTTGTAGTAAATGATATGGTGATATCCAGTGCACCCGTACTGCCGTGGACTCTTGAATGTACAGATGCCAAAAGCCCCTGGTGTGGATAATGCTCGAAAAGCAGTGAAATTGACAGAACCATACAAACCTTATGGTGGGCACTTCCTTGAATTTCCGCTACATTTCTTTAGCCACATGGACCACATACGAAGCATTAGGCTTTCCCCAAATCGCAGAAAACGAGACTTATCGAAACATCGACTCGGATGGAGAGCCAAGGATAAATTTATGGAAAAGAAAAAGGACCAAGGAGCTACAAGTTACGCTATAAAAGTATAATGTCCACTGCCTCCACCAGTTACCAAACAATAGTGCACATTATAGCGTAACGTGTAGCTCGTTGATTCTTTTTCTTTCCTATGAATTCATCGAAAAATCGCTACGCTCTTCGCCGATTTTGGAGGGTTCCTTTGAGAGTCGCCGAAAATCTACCAAATGTTGTTGCAAAGTGCGTTTACGAACGAATGATGTTGCTGCGAACATGACCGCTCCCATCTGCCCAGCTGCCTTCGTGATCTCGGCAGCTATGCCCGCGACAGAAAACAATGGAGTAACATCTGCTCAGCCATTTAGTCTAGTACTGCTCTTCTCTTCTTAAATTTGACCTTTATTACAAGACTCTTCTTTTCTTTTTCATTCCGTTTCCCCACTCTCACACACACATGTTCACAGTCAATTCTGCCGTCGTGGGTCCCATTCGGGACGGATACGAGAATAATGATAATAATAACTCCACAAGACACTTGGCACAATGAACGTGTCCAGCCTATTATTAATGTACACGACCTACATCCGACCTGTTCTCGAATATGGCAGCCTTGCCCTCTCCAACACCACACAGCAACAGCGGGACACACTGGAGAGAATTTTTTTCTACAAAGAACACAAACCCGGCTCGAGACGAAAATAAGAACAAGAAAGATAACAAAGTTGCATGCAGGGAGAACGAAGAAACGACTATAGAACACAGAAGTTGTGGGTTGACAGAACAAACAACTATTGAGTCGGGGATGACTACTAGTATCCACTAGCGCAGCTGTGTAGGTGGGGCGTTGTGGACTCCTCCGACCAGAGGTCTCGGTATCCTTGCACACAACGCGCACCAGGGGGGGGGGGGGTAAAAAAGAAAGAGTTTGGCCATCATGTCAGGTAGTATGCTAGTCTATGGTGTACACGTCGACAGCGGTCCCACAAGTTTGCTCGAGGAGGTACTTGTACACTGCTACTTTGAAGCGTTGCAGCGCTGCCTTGGATGGGGGAGCGTTCAGGATGGCAGAGGGTAGAGCATTCCATGTTGTTAGTAGTATGTAGTAGTATTTATTATTTTAGTAGGCCGAATGGGAAGGATCGGTGTAGGATGTCAGGACTTGTTGTGGGGAGGGGGTTGACAACTGGAAGGCATGGGAGTGTTTCACTTGATGTCGGTGGCGGGTTATGGGGCGGGCGGGCTCAGGGGCAGCAGGTGGCAGCAGGTGGCAGCATGTCTGTCAGCTGGGCTGGACCGGAAATGTAGTGCAGCTTGAACAGGTAGCACAGTCCCGAGACTTGCCGACGCACTGATAAGCTTGGGAGCATGGTCCCAGCGCCAATGCTGCGCATGCACCGTTGCTGAATGCGGTCAAGCTTCGCGAGGTTGGACCGGGCTGCGCCTTGCCAGACTAGGGGAGCATATTCCACGGTTGGGAGGATGAAACCTTTGTAAACGCTGAGGCTGCCGTTGCGGTCGAGTACTGATTGATTGATTTTATTTGGATTCGCGAGACCAAACGAGCAGGAGTGCTCAATAACAGGGTAGCGAATGGTTGAGTTGTGCTATGTGACAATGTAGTGTGTGCGTGGAGGGGGGGGGGGGGAGCTGCGGAGGCCCAATACAATGTAAGGGGATGGGAGGAGAGAAGGCCAGCGGAGAGTCAAATTCAGAAGAGGGAGGAGAGAATAGCTGAAGTACACGGTTACTGAGCGAATTCAAATAAACCAAACAAACAGCAAAACAAGTACACAGCTCACGAGAATAAAGAGGACTGGAGCACAGAATTGAACTGCTGATGTACACAGCTGACGAGAATAAAGACAGGAGCACAGAAATGAACGGGAGGCAGTCTACGAAGTGGTGGTACCATCGGTGCATGCACCACGGTACATTACCATATTATCGGCGCGGCTTTGCAAAGTTCGTGGGTACTGAATACCATGGTGTGACCAATTGTGTAGCAGTCTACAACGTGTAGGGAATGGCAGCTCGGCGGAATGGGCACACCTTCCTGAAGATTCAGCTGATTCTGAAGCCGAATCTCTTGTATTTTTGAGCCGAGCGAAACGCCGAATAGGCGAAAAACGAGCCGATACGAAACATGCCGGAAAGAGTACGAAATTCTGCCAATTTGTCTGCCGGCATTATCCACCAAGGTGTAAATGCCACTGACTACGACATTATTTCACTCCATGGCATGGATCCATGCATATTCTAATTGTTCAACAGATGGTACTGGCTGCCGAGTGTGCTGTATGGCTGTGTAGTCAGTACCGCCATCCGTCAGGTGCAAATCGATTGATAAGCAAAAAATTGTGAAAAGCTATCCGGTATACTATCCAGCTTACCAGTCTAGGGACCGGCGGATTCTGCTCGAAAAGGTGGCAGATTCTGCTCGAAAAGGTGGCAGATTCTGCTCGAAAAGGTGGCAGATTCTGCTCGAAAAGGTGGCAGATTCTGCTCGAAAAGGTGGCGGATTCTGCTCGAAAAGGTGGCAGATTCTGCTCGAAAAGGTGGCAGATTCTGCTCGAAAAGGTGGCAGATTCTGCTCGAAAAGCAGTGAAATTGGCAGAACCATACAAACCTTATGGCGGGCCTCGAATTCTGCTCCATTTCTTTATCCACATACCAAACATGCATGAAACTTACCAGAAAAAGTTCCGAATTCTGCCAATTTTCTGCCGGTGGCTAATAGCTCAACAGATGGTACTGGCTGCCGAGTGTGCTGTATGGCTGTGTAGTCAGTACCGCCATCCGTCAGGTGCAAATCGATTGATAAGCAAAAAATTGTGAACAGCTATCCGGTATACTATCCCGATTGGCACCTGTTCCAGGCACATGCTTGAGGAAGTGGCATGCATGCAGCACCATCAAACACAATTATACCCCCACCCCTTCCTAGCCTCGGCTTTGGTAGATAGTGCAGGCAGACAAATTGGAAGAATTTGGTTCCTTTTCTGGCATATTTCATGCATGAAGTTGAAGACACCACTTACTAATGCACTTATTGCAACCGTACATGTACCGGTAAGTACAGATGCAGTGGTGTCTTCAACTTCATTCTCCCGAGTCAAGCTCCGTATGAAGACATCCAAGAAGAATATTGCGTGATGAGTTCAGCGGGGAGCAAACGTACGTCGCAATATCGTTGCTGTGTCATCTTCTATGCGCCATGCGCTACCTGATGTACCATCCTGCTATGTCGGATACCGCTAACCATGCATGGACTAGGCACCATTCGCTAACTGATGGTGGTGGTGGTGAGAAGGAGATCTCTGTGCCAGAATAACTTAGCAGTCTACAACGTAGAGAGCATGTGTGAGCAGGCGTGTATTTACCGCCATATTGCCAGGTGTATGACTGTATGTTCAACCAGCATATTAATCAAGCATTTTATTATCTGGTGACTCAGTGTACATGAAACCCTTATAATGTTACGTCATAATCATCTAGGCATAGGCGATCATCGGCCAACAGACTCACAACACTTACTTCCTCCTCTTCTTGTCCGGGGAGGTTACACACATGTTGTTGATGTAATCTTGGTACATGTACAGCATTGCATTGCTAAACGTGGAGCAGACAAAAGGAGAGCGCGATGATGCTCAAGCATGCAATAATGATTGAGATATCACACAATTAGCTAGCCGCTGGCAACGTTGACGCCTATTGCACTGTTAATATAATGACACCTTACTCCATCCGGTTGGCACCGTGATCCTGAGTCCAATGGTCTGTGATCTGCAAGGCCCAGGGGAGTATGGCCTGGCAGCAACTTCACGCGACACCCACGCAGGGCCAGAGACCCGCGGAGCGATGCTATACTTTTGTATTTCCTCCAGTAGCCTCCTCGGCGTCGCAATAGTTTGAGTCGAGAACATTCTGCATAAGCAGGATCAGGCGCGCCATACAGTCAGTCAGTCAGTCATGCTCATGTACGCTCCAGCAGGTTTTTGTCCCGTATCAACAGACACCACCGTCAACACCGTGGTGCGTAGACTGTAAGAGCGTTGGGTTCTGAAGTCAAGATTGGCATTTGCTGCCGACCGAATTACCCCTTGCTGCTTGCTGGTGCACGGGACCGCCTGAGACTACTTCGAGTACTAGTATTCCCGTTTGACCGTGCTCAGTACACCGACCCCTAGAAGACCCGAGCGCCTGAACAGTGGCCTTTCCAGCGGCCGAATACGCCACAGCGAGGTGACTATGCTCCAGACATTGTAACTGTGATCGTGAGCCACACATCACTGTTCCTCGTCGCAAGGGTACTGTGCGTCGCAACCCCAAACGTAACTGAGTGGATGAGGGGCTCAGCGTTTGCACCATTAATGTGCAACAATTTGCTAATACAAGTGCCTGTACATCACAACTAGACTAGTCACAGCTCGAAAAGGTTTGACGCGAAGTCCGCGCGCATGCGCAGAGCTCCATTGAAGGGATCGTGGTAATCGTCCTTGCCTGGAACGGTCCCTCACTGGGGACTCTGAATGGCGCCTTGTTCGAACACAGCTCTTCCACCAGTCATTCAGGACACTGTGAAGGAGGTGTGGATGATGCTCGTGTTGATGCTCCTGGCGAATGCGATGCTCACCGCGAGTGAGCAGACAACACTGGATGGAAGCAACTTTCCTATTCCTGAACCTCTGGAGGTGGTTTCTGGCGAGTTGACACGTAGCTACGATCCCGCAGTCGCATTTCCTCGGCCCGGAGACCCGCTGAAGCATTCGTTGTCAGCCCGACAGACAGTGCAGTTCGGCGCCATGGAAATTGTCGCCAATTTCGGATTTCTTCAACGCCCAGCGGGTGTCAGCTTTGTGAATCTGAGCTGCGTGCTGGCTGGCATGTATTTGCCAGTTCGTGGGCGAGCGGAAACCTGGAACCAAATAATGATAGTTTCCTCGTATGCAGGCTGCAAATGCCGTAGATCTCATCAGCCCAGAGTGACGTCATCACCTGATCATCGCCTACTCGTCTTCTACGGGTTCGGCCCTGGTCAGGCTTGTGCAAACCAAGTGCTACTCTACCATGGCGATTGGGCGATTCAATTGAATTCTCGTGGAGGCGAGCACGTGCCCTGGGCATTCTACCCGGGCCTCGTGGCTGTACCGGTGTCCCACGAGCAGTTTGATCTGATCTCTTACGGCGGAGCACTGTGTGACGATCTGGACAAGATCGAGTGCCTGACTTTCTCCGACGATGTATGGCAGTTGCGTATCTCCAGTAACGGATCAAGCAGATCCGGATCAGAGGCTGCCGAGGTTTGGACAAGGAGAAAGGTGGTAGTTCATTCCCAGCGGTCAGGGCCAGGTCCCAGATCCAATCCGTACCTGTTCCGGATTGGCAACAACTCACTGCTGCTGTTCGGAGGGGTCCAGGTGACGGCCAATTACACTCGACTCCTTGTAAAAAGTGACTTTTGGACGTATACCATGGACAGAGGGCATTGGCAGCAGCTTCACACTGACCTTGCCGCCACAGACGCGTATTCAGTACCAGTGACGGCGAATTCCTTTCGTCTCCTGTACAACAGCCTACAGGCGGTATATGTTAAAGATTACAATGTCATAGTAGTAGCGGTTCATGATCCGTTCGAGTCAATTGACTTGTTCATTTGCGAACTGCCGGAAGATGAAACGCACAAACCTGGTATGGTTTACTGCCGGAAAGCCGGTACATGTCAAACTCATGTATCCAAGGCTGTGCGATCGCTACTCCACATTTCCTGGTTTTCGCTGACCGCAGGGGATTACTCAGTGTACATGCTCCTTCATGGCCGAGTCAGAGTGGCCGATTTAAGTGAGTTCACCATAAGACGGGTCACATCGTCCTCGGGGAAAACCAGCCTCGCTCTTCTACAAGATCAACAGCAGGATTTGCGTATGCTGTTTCCCGGCTTTCAGGAAAGCTTCTCCGCTGCCCCTGTTATCAAGATCGATAACTTCCTCGGAATAACAGAGTATGCGTTTCTAGGAGGATATCGTATGGGAAATGATGGTCTTCTATCGTTGGTCACGCCTGACCTTCCGCTGAAAATGGAAGTCTGGGGAATGCGTATGAATCGCGGTTCCGGCATGTCGACCATATCGATGAAAGCCTCACCATCAGCTCCACCATACGCCAGATTGTATGGCCACACTGCCACACGTGTAGGTGCCGTGGCCATTTTGTTCGGAGGTGAGCGTCCTATCGCCACTATATCTAGTACCTTAGTTTACGAAAGCCACCCTTGGTGCTATCATCTGGGGAACAACTATTGGAGACGGGCGAAGTATGTTCCGTTCCTACAAGCGACACCAAGAGCGCGCTCGCTTCACGTGTCTTTTCCGTACAGAGATATTGGCATGGCAGTACAGGGAGGTGCGAGCGACCTTGAACTGTTCGGAGACCTGTGGATGTTTGTCACCAGCAGCTCGGCAGCGTGCAGCGGCAGGTGGGTTGAACTTACTGGTTACGTCACAGGAGGGCATTTGCCGCGACGGAAAGGCCATTCGGCGACCCAGTACGGCGACTGGGACGTCATTCTCTTCGGTGGCTACTCGAGTGAGTCAAAAGGCCAGAAAAACGGACTGGAATCGAACACAGAAGACGCTAAGGATGACATGTATTTGACGATTCTACGTATTATCAGCCTCACCGAGGTTCGTATCAGGAAAATTCCATTACAGCGGTCTGTCCAGCGCAGGACCGGTCATTCCTTGTCGAGATACACGAACGATTCCTTTCTTCTCCTGGGTGGAGTGCATCGTGTTAATATGGGGAACTTCACCGTCGCCCACGAGGCTCTACTGCTCCAGATGCGCCCAGACAACACTATGAAAATCATTCCGTTCTTCAATTATTCCATCATGCAGCACCATGTCGTCGACAATCTGGTCGTGTCAGGCCTGGCCCTGGATGGAATTGGAAGCCGATTCACCCAGTTGAACTATCTGCTGCTGAAAAACGACAAGCATTGCCCAGTCGGCTACGGACGGAATGCGCAGGATTCGTGCCAGCCGTGCCCCAAAGGCACCTACGCATCCAGTGTGCCACAGCAGTGCACGAAGTGCGCAGAGCATCTGACGACGGCCGGCGAAGGGGCCTCAGTGTGCATTGCGAAAGATCCGTGCACTACGAACACATGTCACGGCCACGGCGCATGCTTCGTGGACAGCGAGAACGACGCCTATTGCAAGTGCCGCTTCGGGTATCTACCCGCCGACGATTGCCGAACGCCGACGGTGTATCTGTCACAGATTGCTGCTGCAGTGTTCTCCACTGTTTTGGCCATTCTTATCACGTCTTTAGTGAAATATCTCCGACGAGGAAAGACATTGCGACGCACCGAAGAAGAGCTGAGAGTCGAGCGCTTTCATCTTCATAAGTCCAAACTTAAACTGTCCGAGATTAACCGTGGGACACGAGTGAGGTGGGTGGATTTGACAATCACTCGACAAATTGCGTCGGGAACCATTAGCAAGGTGTACCTGGCTGAACTGAATGATTTGGTGGTGGTGGTGAAGAAGCTTCCCCGCTATGCAACTCGGGCCAAATGGCAAGTAGATCTACGACCCTACGATATTTTCATGGAGGAGGCGGAGGCGCTGCGATCTTTGCGCCATCCCAACATAGTCCTCTTCCTCGGGGCCGGACAAGACGCTGCTAGCATAGGTCCGTTTTTGGTCATGGAGTACCTGCGACGTGGCTCTCTTTACGACAACCTGAAAGATCGGGCAGTAGATATCGATGGCAATGACCGGCTTCGCTTCGCCATGGACATCGGTCGTGGTATGCGATACCTACATAGTTCCAATCCGCCGCAGATTCACCGTGACCTGAAGAGTCCCAACATCCTGGTGAGCGAGAAGTGGGTGTTAAAAATTGCTGACTTGGAGTTTGTTCGGTACTCATCTCTGGTAAAGGAAGACGACAAAACTACACGTACTTCTACTGGTGCCAGATCATGTCCAGGTGATCAATCGCAGTCCGACGCCAACCAGAGCACCCCAAGCGGCGCCGACTCCCTGGGAACGGCACTCGCCCCGACACATGCTGGATCCTCGACGATGCTCACTCCTCTGTTACCGTGTGTGGAGGAGTCTGCTGAGCGGCAAGCACCTGGCCTCAACAGCAGCCCTAGCAGCCATCATTGCACTCCTTCAGAGCTAATCCCTACGCACGACGTGCCCGTGGCCATGACATGCGGAGTTGGCACGGACCGTTGGAGAGCTCCGGAGACTTTGACGAAGAACAGCTACACGGAAAAGTCTGATGTCTATAGGTAAGTGCGCCCAACTAAACCTCACTACAGTGATTTCAGTAGTGCATCACTTATAATATACAGCAATGAATACAACTACATGTATGTTCACACTCATAATCATGACCATAGCAACGAATAAAGAGTTCCAGAACGTTCTATATACTAGTGATTATGATCATGCATCTACGTACGCACCACCAAGGTACAGGTTGTTGGATCTAAGCAGGACCGGCGGAAGGAGGTTTTGACTGGTCCCGCCATACGCTAGCCTGTCATACTTTGATATGGTGGCTGCACATAACCACCTAGCATGTCATACTTTGATATAGTGGTGGCTGCACATACAGTTTGATAATAATTATTGGTGGTGGCTGCACATACAGTTTGATAATAATTATTGGTGGTGGCTGCACATACAGTTTGATATGGTGGTGGCTGCACATACAGTTTGATAATTGGTGGTGGCTGCACATACAGTTTGATATGGTGGTGGCTGCACATACAGTTTGATATGGTGGTGGCTGCACATACAGTTTGATATGGTGGTGGCTGCACATACAGTTTGATATGGTGGTGGCTGCACATACAGTTTGATATGGTGGTGGCTGCACATACAGTTTGATATGGTGGTGGCTGCACATACAGTTTGATATGGTGGTGGCTGCACATAACCACCTCGGCAGTAAACACGTGTTGCTGGTCCAAAAGTTGGTCCGGCCATGACCTGACCAACCGGACCGGTTCCGCCGGGCCTGCTAAGAACAAGAAAACAAGAAAACGTTCTTGGATCCAACGAACCGTACCTTGATGATGTTTGTAGAGGCATGATTAATTAAAATGACAGAATGTCCTCACCTTCTTTTTCACTTATTGAGATTTTAAAAATGTTATCTCCTTGTCGACTCTTCATGAAACTCTTTGTAAACCAGTGTTCGCACTCATAATGATCACAAACATAACAACGGAGTTCAAGAACGATCTGGATCCAGAACGCTCTGGAACTCCTTATTTGTTGATGTGATTGTGAGTGGGCATATTGTTTTAATCATTGCTTTATCAAATTTACTGTATCCGCGTCGCCTGTTCAAATGCATAACTTGTTTGTGTTGTACCAGACAGATGCAACGGATTGGGAAAATCTCATGCAGGGAGCAGCATTAACAGTTATGTTTATGTGGATTTGCGATGTAACGCTCTACACAGTCATGGTGATGTCATGGTGATGTCATGGTGATGTCATGGTGATGTGTATAACTTACCCTAAGGTGTGTCCATTGCAAAGCCTGCTTGGAAACAAAACCTTCATCGCCTCTGGTGTTTCTGGCCTTTAACATTATTAGGAAGAGTTGCCAATGTTGCACCTTGTACCCATTCTAATGGGTTTTACAAAACACTGTGCACTACCCTGAACAGGGGGCACATTGCACAACGCGCACTGCTCATCGTACACTAAAATTGCCTGCCGTGTATGGTGTGCAGTTGAAACCGGTCATATGGCAGGTACAGGTCATTCTGTTGTTCTGTTATCAACAGAGTACCATTTACCTGATTGGACAGTAGAAACGAATTTTTTTCTTCATTTGTATCCTGCTGGCTGTAGTGTACTGCGAATGGAAAGTTTTCACCTGGGCTATATGTACTCATTAATTTCATTCAACTCAATCTCGTGGCATGTGCATGCAGCTCTAATATGGGGAATAACCCCAGAGATGAGGGCGATACCCAGCCATGGCAAAAAGTACAAAAGAAAAAAACAAGAAAGAAAAGTGGAAAGAAAGGAACAGGGAGGAAAGCAAAGCTTAGCCATGAAAAGTGAGATAATCGGTCATTACATTGTATAGCTAAACACGTGTGAGTGCTGCAGGAAAACGCAACTCACTGCAAACAACTATTACTTGGCGAAACTGAGACATGCTGTGGCTATCTGCTCGTCTGTTCTGTTGGTACTTGCAGCTACGGCGTAGTGCTCTGGGAAATATGTGCACGCCAGCTTCCCTACGGGCACCTCAACAGTTCGGAGTACATCCATCAAGAGATCATTGACGGAGAGAAGCTGGTGTTTCCGCCTGGAACACCATACGGGTACCGGCACCTCGCCGAAAGGTGCATGGCGGAGAATCCCCGGGATAGACCATCCTTCAGGAAGATCATCCAGCAAATTGATGAGCTCCAGGTCAGTCCTCCGGCAAGTGAATGAGAAGGTGGTAAGGCAACGAATTCCCTTAATTTTCTGTAGCATGAGTTTGCCTCTTTTGGAATATCAAAATCAGTTCAAAATGTACGGAGACGCGTCAAAATGTTTTCACGTGTCATGACATCTCTATGCAAGTATGTTGATGCCTACCCGGTACCCCCTCCTCGACTAGCCTATGCATGACTGGTGTAGGCATTATGCACTCCTCCTTCGTCCTGCAAAATATTCAATTATCAGCATCACGGAATGTAATATCAATGAAAGAACAATGTCGATTATTTGCAAAGAACAATGGAACAATATTTTAAGATTTGAATGCCGTTTCATGTTATAATCACCAGAAAAAGTTTTTTTGTAGTCCAACTCTCAGTGTGATGACGATTTCCCATGATTATCACATGAAAACCACGTTCAAATCTTTCTTTTTTTCTTTTTTCTATTGTTCCATTGTTCTCGTGGTATGAGTGCGCTCAGTTTACTTTCATCGATATTAAGTTTCTTGTCTCCACGCCAACTTTTTATCATGGAATGTCTCATTTTTTCACTGGATAATCTTCCAAGGTACAAATATGCACCATTCCTCACAGATTTCCCTCCTCGAACTGTTTATCACATAAAACATTTCTGCCATCTGTGTTTTATTCCTACTGTCTTGCTCCGGTAAATTTAGTTCACAAACGCATAATTTTTACGTTTCCCATTTACTAGTCGAATGTAATCAACTGATCTGGCATTCACTTTAACACATATTTCGGTGTGTTTTCGGGATCTTATGTGCCTGCTAGAAACTATTTGAACACACCCATGCATGTGTTCAGGCTTGCACAATGAAGTAGCTTGGCTGATAATCAGACGAACAGAAGAACAGAATGCTTCAATAAGCAATGGAGCTCAATCGTGTCTGAGACTGGGTGCTGATGATGATGCTTAGGAGTGCTTTCATTCTGATTTGAATGATGAATATTTTCACTCATTCCATCAGTGTACAAGAGCGAGAAATACCCATTAGCAAGCACGCAGGACGTGGCAGGCCGCTGAGGTTGTGAGTGTGTGTGTGTGTGTGTGTGTGTGTGTGTTTGTGTGTGTGTGTATGTGGGTGTGTGGGTGTTTGTGTGTGTGTGTGTGTGTGTGTGTGTGTGTGTGTGTGTGTGTGTGTGTGTTCTGCACTAATACAATCATGTAACTCTAAGTTGTCTGTTAGAAGATAGGTGATTACGGCTAAAGCCCGGATATCCGGAACGTTTTTTTACTTACTAGTACATGTCCTTGCATGTCAATAGCAAGGTTTAGAACAATGGCCAAGGTGTCTGTAGCACTACAATGTAGTATCCAGTGTCTGCTCTAGGATTGTAACACAGCCGGGTACACGTGTACCTGGCGCAACCATTTCAACCGGGTCGGAGCCGGGTACACATGTACCTGGTTGGTTGGTTTATTTAATTCGGACAATAAACGGGAACTAGGCCCAATGATATAAAGGCGAATGAATAAGCCGCATTTAGAAAAGAGAGGACAGGAATTAGAAAATTACGAAAGAAGAAGAAGTATCTGACACATACAAGCCATGTAGTCAGTCCTTTCAAAGTTCGAAAGTGTAAAGTACCAACCGGGTCACAGGCGACCCGGTACTATATTTTCAACCGGGTTCAAGCGCCGCCCAACCGGGTGGATTACCCGACTCACCCGGCGCTGGAACAGACACTGGTATCTTGGGTTTTTATAATTTGTTTTATGCAGGAGTAGAACACAATTCAAGTGGTATATCATCAGAAGAGAGCTTTCTATGAGGCCCATTACACTGCATGTACATGTACGTGAACTGTATTGTCAAGAACCAGGGATTCGTATCAACCCGGGTGTATTCCGTAGCGACTCCCTGGTTAAAACCTAAGACTGGTTCTGCTGGGTTCCACTCGGCATAATTGTGGGACATGTCCTTTAGTGCCATTTCACTGGTAGGCACCGGCGGATAATGCCGGCAGAAAAATTGGCAGAATTCGGTACTTTTTCTGGTAAGTTTCATGCATGTTCGGTATGTGGATAAAGAAATGGAGCAGAATTCGAGGAATTGCCCGCCATAAGATTTGTATGGTTCTGCCAATTTCACTGCTTTTCGAGCAGAATCTGCCACCTTCCTATTCACTGGTTGCAACAGCCTACTTACTGTGTACAGTGTACATGAAAAAGGGATCCAATGTTGTAGTATCAACATGACTGTGTGGTGTTTACTAGGAATGGCTCCAAGTCTGTTGGAAGGGCCTTTCTTTCTGGCTGGGAGAGGCCTCCATCAGTTCCCTCCTGAACAGTGGCTAAGCGCATAAACCACAAAAGCCACTGGAAATTTCGACGAGGTCGTTCATATCATCACTTTTGAAGGCATGTACACATACACGTACACATACACGTATGGATGAAATAAGTACTGTAGAAGCAGAAATTTTCGGTGGTGTAATTTTTTCGGTATTCTCCGAAATCGGCGGTTTGTTGGAGGGAAATTTTCGGTAAACTCGTTTCCAAGTAAGTGTAATACATGTAGTACCGACATTTTCCCCTCTCCGTATCAATTTGCGGCATCACTCGTGCCTCCCCAAACGGATTTTGTCAAGTATATGCCGAGTGTGCAGTGAATACAGCTAGTGCAGAGGAATAGTGCACTGTGTGTGTGCGTGTGTGTGTGCGTGTGTCTGACCACCATTAGACCCCAGTGACTCAGCAAAGTTTATTTTGCCTAAGGCGAGCTGCTTACACCTTCTGCTGCAAAGATACAGCTGTGTAATATGCCTACACACAGGGGAACTGCTTGTCGATACTATCCATCGCGATCTCCAATGCATGCAATAATGACCTGGCATTGTCAGCATCGTGCACGGTTGCAAGCTTATCAAGCCTGTTGCAAAACAACCAAAAAAACAGTTCTGAAAACAGCATTGTCTCTTCCGGTGTGTTGCTGTTGTACATAGATATACATGTACATGTATATGTAGATACTCAGGATGAGATCGCTTCGGGAACGGACGCGATAATTAATTTTACTTTTATTTACTTGCTCAGGATCTGACTTCTTCCTATAGTTTATTCCACTGTACTACCAGCAGGATTGTACGCAATCACAAGGCAAAGGAACCCACAACAGATGTAGCCCAGGCAGTTTAGTGAGTACTAGGCATTGGCGGATATTCATAATGCTCGAAAAGGTGGCAGATTCTGCTTGAAAAGCAGTGAAATTGGCAGAACCATACAAACCTTAGGCGGGCAATTCCTCGAATTCTGCTCCATTTCTTTATCCCCTAGTGAGTACAGGGCCCGATACGCTCACCCGTGACCGAGAGATTGGGAGAGAGATTCGAATCCAACATTTTTATATTTTCATCATCAAGAATAGCCGTGAATAGGGCAGTGTATGTTTCGAAATACTGCAATATACTGAACAAATTTGAAGGTAGCAAAATGTGTGTGAGGAATGAATTTTAGAAATAAGAGTAAGAACCAACCTCATTGCAAAATGGTAGATCTACAACTCAGCATCCAGCCTTGCGTAGGGGCAGCGACTGCTGGGGATGAGGAAACGGGAATGGCGTGGTGTCCAGCCAGCCAAATGACAGCTTACTTCCGAAGCCTCGGTTCAGCAAAACAAGGCCAGAGCAGCCATCCTCGTAGTTGCCGAGCACCCTGACAGAGCGCACTTGGATGCCGTCGCTGTGGGCTGCGTTCAGGCTTGCGTTGCGAAGATTGATGGGAGCCACGCACGGTCCGCACACATTCCCGACTTCGGGCGAGATGGGCACGGTGAATGTGCGCGAGTGCGACTTGAGAAAGATTCCACGCAGAGGAACACGCATGACGGCAGTCTGGAACGCCAGTGCCTTGATCGTGCTGCCGGTTTTCGGCGCAGGCAGTTCCGGTACAGTCGAGTTCTCGAACAGGTCGATATGCTCATGAATGATGTGGTCCAGTACGGGAAGCGAATCCAGGTCGACGTGCTCGTGATCGCAGTAGAACTCCAGCTCGAGGAAGTGCGGGCCACGCGCTTCGTTGTCCGTGCCGGCGAA